CAGTTCTTTTTTGTTTCATTTACTCTTCAGGCAAGGTGTTGCTTTACTCTCAAGCTTCAGATATCAATCCCCCGACTCGTGCTGCTCATGGAGCTGGGATGAGAGGCCCAGGGCACCACGGCCAACTTTTAGCATTGAAATAGGGTCTCCCTGATTTTTTTTCTCCAACCTGGCCTTGACACATAATCTTCTCATCTTTAACCTCCCTAGTAGCTGGGATTACAAGTGGGAGCTAATATACTCAACTATGCAAACTTTTAAACCCTCAAATATGTTTTCATTTTTGTTGTTTTCAATACTTAATGTTCAAATAGGTCTTCGATGCACTAGCTCATCCTGATGGGCTATGCCATGCTTATAAGACTTCCAACAACATCGTAAGAGAAGTCACTGGGCGTAAAATTTAGGAGAGGAAAGAAGAGGCACACTCCACTGAGTGGGTACCACCGCCTCCCTCATCCCCGCATCTTGGAATGCTTCTAATTCCAAATAGACACTGATGCAGGAGACTCTGAGGCCCATGAGTGGGTCCCTCAACTTCAAACCCCACAGGCTCCCAGGACAGCCTACAATGGAGCAGGCAACCCAGCCAGCACTGGGCCAAGGTCTAATGGCTGTGCTCTTCCACCACTTGGTGGCTGTTTAATTTCAGGTCAGTGTTATCTGTCAATGAAGCCAGACAGTACCTAGATCTCCTTACAACTAGGTCTGCAGCATTTCAAAGGAGCATGGGGGATGTGTGATCAGTTGAAGCATGGAGGAGGCAGCCAATCCTGAGATCAAGCTCCCAAGTCAAGAAAGCTCTCACTGCATGTGCAAGGCGCTCCCCAGCATGAACCACACAGCAGCCTCTGCATGTCTGAAACCCTCTACCCAGTCCCAGAAAGGGAACCTTGGGCTTAATAACTGACTTCAAATGCTACACTTGATGGTCCCATGCAGACATTTCCTACAGATCACTCAAGGGCCTGGAAGTCTAGGTAGCTAAAATTTATGCATGTGGGGGATTACAAACATTTTTCTTTGTAGAGGAATTTGCAAGTACAGGAATCCGTGAGTCATGAGGACTGACTGCATATCTCAAACCCTTCTGAATTTAACATTCTCCATTATCTTTCCCTCCCTCCCACAGCCAAATCTACTTGTTTATCTCCTTTGATGAACTGCCCCTGCCTTGGGGAGAGATGCTCACTTCCACTTTGAGCAAATCCAAAAGCTACCTGTGGCTTTTCTAATGTGTGCTCCCAGAGAAGAAGTGGAAAGGAGCATGAGCTAAGTGCTCCTGAGAGTGAGGAGGCCCATCGGCTAACTACTCCCCGAAATGAGAAGGAACATTGACTAGGTGCTCCTCAGAGTGAAAAGGACCATCGGCTAAATACTCCCTGGAACGAGAAGGATCATGGACGAGGTGCTCCCTGGGTTGAGAAGGAACATGGGCTAGGTGCTCTCTGGAGTTGGACCATCAGCTAAGTATCCCCTGGAGTGAAGAGGACCACTGGCCAAGTGCTCCCTGGAGTGAGGACCATCAGCCAAGTACTCCCTAGGCCCAGGCCCTATGCTGGCCACTAGTCCACAATCTCACAAGGTCTCCAATGATCCTAAACTCACAAAGTTGTTGCCAGTTTCACAGCTGAAGAAAGCGAAGGACACACAGGTTGAGGACAGACCACTGGCCCATGGGCCAGAAGGGAGACAGCTAAAATTTCAATCTAGATCCACTGGACTCCCAAGCCTGCTTGGAGGCAAAACAACATTATGCAAATCTCAAAATGAATCTCTAATCTCCAACCACGACAGTGAGTGGAAACAGGCAAGGTTATCTTGCTTGGTGAACAGAGAATCAGGCAGAACTGTGTACAATTCCAGGGTGCCCCCAGCCTGCCCTGAGCCAGCTGACAGTGTTTCTGCCACATGGCCTGTAGGTGGCAGAGTGAGCACATGAGTTTGCTCCTAGTACTTAAGAAAGTTTGCCTGGCTGGGTGTGTCAAAGTGAAAGCAGCTTTCTAAAGTTATTGGCTTGCTGCCCTATAAATCATTAATCAACAGTCCTTCCAGCTTCTCAACTGTCTGATCAAGATCTTGGCCTTGGGGAAGTTCTAAAATTAAAAGCTAAAAGAACATCATGAATATCTAAACTAAATATCTAAACTGAAAGAGTATCATATATAGTAATAATGATTTTAAAAAGAAAACTCTGTCTCCTGTTGGTTATTGTCCATTTGAGTTCTACTTTTTTTCCAAAATAACTTTACAAGTTGTTGCAGGAAAGTGTGTGTTGGGGGGGGGGGGGAAGGGGAGAATTAGTCCTACAAATTCTACCCCTCCCATCTCCACCCCCTGGAAGTACTGGTTGTAAACTCAGAGCCTCATGTTTGCTTGCTAGGGAGACAAGCTACCACTCAGACCATGACCCCTGCTGCCTGAGCCACACCATTACCACTTGAGCCACACCCACAACATTAGAGGTTCAAATTATTCTACAGGCCAGAAAACCAGACCAAGTCGATGTCCAATGAAACCCTACATCACTCTTCATTCAGCAGTCATGAGACAGGGCACCCTCCAGGCATAGAAAACAGAGACAGAGATGTCCCAACACCCTAAGTAAGAGTCATCTGACATAGACGGAGCCACATTGAGAAAATTCATGCCTATCTTGACTCATAGTAGAAACTGGTGATTTTATACAAGGACCAAGTCTGGAAATAAAAAGAGCTATCTTACCCACTCCCTTCCCATTTACAAGCCTAGGCCTGTTCGATCTTCACACCCTCCTTTCCCTATGACTCTGCTCTCTGCTGCCAATCACGAAGGACTAGAGCAGAAATACAATCAGCCCTGAAAATGGCAGACATTTTTGGCATAGTTCGTGGGAAATCAAAGCAGTGGCAGAAGGAGGACAGTGGAGCTACAGTAGCACAGAGGAACCCAAAGGCCACCCATGCTCCAGAAGAGGGCAGCAAAATCACTTTGGAGTGATTCTGAAATACACAGGCCTTGAACTCTCTCTGGAAATTTGACTTGAAGAATATGGATTATGCAAACTTCCAGGGAATTTAGACATGCCTTGCTCAGGACACAAAAGTAAACTTAGAAGGCAGGGGAGTGAAGTCCCTTCTTCACCAGGCTGAATGTCTGGGAAAAAGCTTTCTCAGGTGAGCAAGAACAGCTTGGTCATCATCACAAATCTGCACCTGTCCTGTCAGTCATGACCCTATTCACCAGCATTTTTTAACTTCAATTCAACTAAACAGTCAAATGGAACTCCCAGGTCAAAATTCAGGATATGATAGAACAAAAATGATGTCAGAGTATCATTGCAGGGCAAGCCAAAAAGCTGTGTATGTCGTCAAAAAAAATCCCTTATTAGGAAGGAAGTTGAGACTAACACTACAAACTTAATTCTTAAAGAAAGAGGTACTAAGGAGAGGATTTTAAGATAGTTTGACCATGGAATTACTAGATGTTTATTGGAAGCAACTGAGCCCTATGGAAAGCTGTGAAAATATTTATCATAAAAATGAGTTTTATAAAGTCATCCTAATAATGTAATCAGGGTTATGTGTGCATAAATAATGGGTGCAGTACTGTAATTGCAGATGAGTAAGTGATTTCAAAACATTGAGTCAGAAAAAAAAAAAAAAAGCTTAAGGACAGCACACAGGCCCAGGACTGCTACAAAAAAAAAAAAAAAGTTAAGGATTCTATTCAAAGAGAGAAGCCAAAAAATTGAATAAAGCTAAAATTTCAAAAAACTTGATGAAAACCATGAACACACAGATCTAAGCACACAGCATGTGTGTGGGTCAGGTTGGGGGCAAAGGAAAAGACACCAAAAGTGATCATAATCAAGCCCCTCAGGGATTCTGAGGGCAGCAGAAAATAGCAACAGGAGAACAGCATATTTCTCATCAAAAGCAAGTGAGAAGACAGTAGGGCAACATTTTCCGGGGAGGGGAGGGAGAGGAGAGGCAGGGATTAAAATTAGAATCCTATGTGCACAGAAAGTAACTTTCAAGTTTAGTTAACTTTCAAGAGAAAAGATAAAGAAACTCTCAGAAACAAAAGCTGACAGAGTATGTCACACCATAAGAAATTTAGGGAAAATCAGAACAGTTAGAAATGGAGATAGACATAAATAAAGGAAGACTTCTCAGACATGCCAACTACATGTGTAAGTGCATGGAACTTTTTCTTATGATTTAAGCCTTTTCAAAAGACAGTGGTTTAAAGTAAACTATAGGATGGAATTTGTACTTTATATATAAAATTTATACTTTATGTATGTATACATATATAAGGATATACATATATAGTTTATGTATATAAAAATAAGATTTACTTTATGTACATATACGTGAAGTAAAAAGTCTGATAAATTATAAAATACAGAAGTCAAGCAGTAGAGGCACATTCCTGTAAAGTTTTTATAACATGCATAAAGTGGTGTTATTGAGGGGAAAAAAAGAGTCTGTTCCGGACACCTTAGGTTCAGATTCACAGTCTGAAAAAAGCAAATAATCAACAACAACAAAAACACCCAAAGGATAACAACCATATTGGTGTCTTCAGCAAGACAAAGCTCTCAGGAAAACATAAATTGTACAAATCTTGTGATGTGTTACATACATTCCAGGAGACTCTGGGTTGGATTCTGAGGTGGACTTGACGTGTGTAAGTTATTCAGTCCCACACCAAATCGTAAGACGCATCCAGAACTGTCTCCATCCCTCAGCCCCATCTGAAGGAGCAGGTCTGAGGAAAGCCAATGCGTTCCAGACTGATTATTCTTGGCTACACTTAATCACCACCAAGTAAACAAACGCAGCACTCACTCACACTTGTGCAACTTATTCCATCCCCTGCAGCCAGAAGAAACTGCCACGTGATGCTGTTTAACATCTGGAAATGTGGAAGCGATTTTACAGAGCACCCAAGGACCACACGCTTGTGGCAGCGGCTGAGGTCACCCAGGGAGTGGAAGGAGAGAACTCACTTACAATGAAGCCAAGTTTCTTGTAATCCCGGGTGTACATGGACTTGCGTTTCTCCACGCTGCCGCTGCTATTATTAGGTTCAGTCTCCGCATCAAAAGCAATTCTTCGAAGTTCAAATATGATATCTCTTTGAGCCTAGAATGAGGGAGGGAGAGGAATCTGCTGTCATTGTGCAAAGTGACATCAACTCTCTTTTTCTTCACCCCCAGGGTCCAAATGAATCATGCTTTAGAATAAAAGAAAACCAGATAAAAGTCAAGCCATGTGCTAAATGAGAGCTGAGCACACTTTGCCCTTTGCCCCTCCCCCGGCTTCTCAAGCTTGGCATCTCTCCAGTGACCCCAGCTGCCATCTCATATGGAATATTGGTAACCAGTTGCCAGGGACCTGGTCCTAATTGCAAAGGGAGGCAGTGAGGGGCGTAGGCTGAGGTAGAGTCTGGGAGGGTCCACTGCTACCTACAAAGCAGGAGGCTCACAAGGCCCGTGAGCAGTTCTGTAGTCGCAATGGATCTTTTACTCCACTAATCAAGGACACATCATCAAAACTAACAGGAAACCAAAATAAAAGGAAGATCCCAAAGAAGAACCAACCCCTGTACCCTTCCTTGTCCATCCATAGTAAATGGATGAGCACATGACATTCACATACAGCAGGAACAAAATTCCATAATGCCAGTGGCTCAGGCTTGTAATCTTAGCTACTCACGAGGCTGAGATCTGAGGATACCAGTTCAAAGCCAGCTCAGGTAGGAAAGTCCATGAGACTCTTATCTCCAGCTGACCACCAAAAAAGCCAGAAGTGGAGCTGAGGCTCAAGTGATAGGGTGCTAGCCTTGAGCACAAAACGTCAGGGACACCACACAAAAATTGTGACCACAAGGACAAACCTTAAAGGTACTAGGTGGAGTGAAATAAGGCAGATAATAGGTGACAAGTGTTGCCTAGAATACTTCTGTGTAGCCACACCACAGCAACAGGAAGCAAAATGGAGCAAGCTGGCCAGGGCTTGCAGGATAGCTCAAATGGAGTTATTGTTTAGGGGACCCAGAAATTCAGTTTTGCCTGATGATACCTGGTAATGTTTTCATAACAATGTGAATATACTCAGTGCCAGTGAGCTTCCACTTTAAAATTACTCCCTTATTCTCCAAACAAAAAACCACATGCATGTTCAGGGCCTAATGGAAGCCTTTATTTATTGCTAGCACTGGGGCTTGAACTCAAATCCCCATGCTCTTACTTTGCTTTTTCACTCAAGGCTTCCATTCTATACTTGAGCTATTCCACTTCCAGGTTTTTGCTAGTTAATAGAAGGTATGAGTCTCACAGATTTTCCTGCCTGGCTAGCTTTGAACCAGGACCTTCAGATCTCAGCTTCCTATCTAGGATGACAATTGTTAGCCATCAGCACCCAGCTATGATCAATTGGTTTTATTATCTATAGGTATTCACCTATATTGAGAAGCCATATCCCCAAGCCCTAAGAAGGTAATATAATACTTATAGGATCCTCACAAACTCCAGGATTCAGTGTAGCTAGCAGAAAGATGGCTGGTGGCATTGCACTTTCTGTTTGTCACATGTTACTGCTGTTAGATGCACACCTACCTGATCCTGGGGGTCCATTTTGGTCATCATCCTGTCTTCCAAGAGGTTAAAGGTGAGCACTTGGAGAACATATAATTGGTGGGCCATCTCGTTGTTGATGGCCCGCTGGGCACGGATGACATGCTGCAGGAATAGTTCACAGATGCCAGTGTTAAAATACTTACTAAAAAAAGAAAGGACAGACCACAAACTAAACATCATCAACAGGCCCAAGTGGAGGCTGGGCAGTCTGCACCTAGATGCAACCAGGAATGAAGCCTGGTGGCTCACCCTTCAGAAGGAAAGCCAACATACATGTGAGCTCAGAGCTCTCCCTGATGACTCAGAGGCAGGAAAAGATCTACTGTGTGCAGAAGAGGAAACAGAGGGTGGGGAGGCTCTTAAAGGAAAGGGTCAGGCCCTGGCTCCCCCAGGTCACAGAGGGGCAAATGGTGTCACCACCATCATAGTCCCCTACCCACGCATCCAACTTCCAAGCACTAAAGCAACCTTGTTCCCACCCTACAGAAGCAAACTCAGTGCAGGAACACTGCCAAGAAGCCAACACCATCATGGCACAGGGAGCTACCTGTCACAGTGCTTGAATCTCCAGCTCACAACTCAGTGAAAAGTAAACTGCTTTCCCCCAGAAAAACTGGGGCAGCACCATGGTGCTAGGTATTAGAAGTTGTGGAGTTCTGATTCCTTTCCTTACAAAGCTAAACTGTATATGAAGAAAATAGAAAACCACCACAGGAAGGCGGGCTCCAGCCCAGAGGCCCAATCATGTCATTTTTACTCCTACAGTAGGTCCACTATGAAGGACACTTCCTGTGGGACAGAAATGTTGATTCTGACTCTCAGAGCCCACCATCTTCCCTCCTTCCTAGCCCTACCCCTTCACCAAACAGTGGAGAACAAAGTGCAGATCAGTCACAGAAGAGACACTAAAGTTGCACCAGGCCCTTCCTCCCCAGTTAGGTACTCACTGTTAGAATGATGGAACACAGCTGCTTCTGAGCCAAAATATTTGCCATTTCCTGGGGAAGAAAAACACCCCACACAAAGGCTTTGGTTAGAAAGACAGGCATGCTTTCCACACAACCAAGTGTCATTCTTCCCGTGCGCTTCAGGGTCTGGATATCAGCAGTATTTCTTAGAAAACTGTGGCCTTGGAAGGCACTAGTATTCCATGATAAGGCTGGATATTCCATTTGGATTATAAAAGCCAAGTACAAAGGCATATATATATGAATACATATGTATATATATACACATATATATAGAAAAATCACTCTCCAGAAACTAATGGTTTTCCACTCAAAAAGTGCATCAGAGGCTGGGCACCAGTGGCTCATACCTGTAATTCTGGCCAGCCAATCAGATGTCTTAGATCTGAGAATCTGGTTCAAAGCCAGCCCCAGGAGACTGGAATTATCTCCAATTAACCAGCAAAAAGAAGAAGTGGGGATGTGTGGTTCAAGTGGTAAAGAGCTAGCTTTGAGCTGTTGAGTGGGTAGAGGAAGGACCCTGTACCCGCTTTTCTTAGATTGTATGAAGATGACCAGACAACACACACCCACAGCAAGGACATCCTGATGTTGGAGAACCATCACCCTAAAATCCCTAACTCACCTAAAAGCAAGTTCATCTACCTGCGTGCAGAACCAAGGGCAAATGGCATACACCCCAAGCTATGCAAATGAACCACATGGGGTTTCAGATGGACAAATATCTGGCCAGATGTGATGCTGTGGAATTCTCCCTTGGCTTCTGCATGATATAAGTTGTGCTTCAGCCTCTCCTGGCCTCAGCAGAGTACTTGAGGATGGTTTTATGAAATGAAATGATTCACAGGCCCTCTTTGGAAGGAATAAGGGAGAAATTTCATAGTCAAGCCACATCCTTGGGACACACTAAGAAAAAGTCAAAATACTGCTCATATGCAGGAAGACACTAGAATGCCAATCTGTGCTGGGGATTTTTTTTTTCGGTGCTACGAGTTGTACTGAATAGAGAAGAAACTAAGCTACAATGAAAAACAACAGAACCATGATATCTACTAAGGTGCAAATAAATGTACAGATAGCCAGGGGAGCGAAGAACATGAGGAAAGGAACTCGAGGGGATGCAGGGGGTACAGGCAGGACGGATGAGGGCAGACTGAGACAGCAGGGTCCACAGAGGGAACATGGGTGACTTACAGTCAGAGGACACTCAAGGATGTCAACATTGTTGTCTACATCAACCTAACAGTGCCAATGCCACCACAGAAAGGAGAGCAAGCAAGAGAGAAGAAGAGATGGAAATTCAGAGCTGTTGGCAGCTTTGATGCAATGCCCTGCCAACCCACTGCCTAGGGAGGACTGTGAACACCTTTTACACTTATATGGGAACAGAAGACATAGAAATGGAAATCCATGATCAGGTCATCTTCCTGCCCTCAAAAGCAAGAAAGCAAAGGCAACCACATCTTGAGACACAAGCTGAAGGCACGCCCAGAAAACACCATCGGCCATCTCTACTACATGATTCTTCCCCAGCTAAATACAGTAGCTCTTGGGTGAGGGTTGATCGGGCTTGGTTAGGTTTGATTTTTTTTGGAGCAGGTAACAAACAAAAGACCGAAAGGACCTCTATACATACATCTCCAATATTGCTTTTTATAAATATTGTATTCCTTTTGCAAATGAAAAGTGCAGCCCAATAGTCACCAAAAAAAGAAAATAAAAAATATGCTTTGTGCTCCTATTTCATCTATAGGTTAATATGATTTTATAACATTGAAATGATAGAAATGTAGATATAATTACAGATATACAGAGACAGCCACAAGATAGTCGCCAATAGTTAGAAGGCTATTTCCTGTCCAACAGCTACTAGTCATTGACTATCTACTTACAAAAAAATATATATACATATACATATATATGCATAAGACTGTGTGTTCTTGGGGGCACAGTGGACTCCATGTGCTTCTTTGTATCCCAAGTTCCAGGCATGATATTCAGCAAACAGAAGATGACAATAAATATTTCATTAAGGAACAAGTGGATATTTGATAGTACTCTCCTTAGAAACAGAAGCTAGAACAGAGAGAAAACAGAAGGATCTTTGTGAACATGAGAGATATCTGTCTTAGGGAATAGTTTGAGTAAACATGAGAGTCCATGGGGAGATTTTCATAGCACCGAAATGACAGAAACATATAAATATATAGATAGAGACACCAATACGGAATGATGTCTACAACATAGTTTTAATCTTAACAGCAGTTTTCTATAAAGACAGTACATGTAGTATGCCGAGTGTTGGTTAAAAATACAAACAAAACTCTGGGCTGGGGGAGTAGCTCCATTGGTAGAAAGTGAACATCGTTGAACAAAAGCATTAGATATCAAGTTCGAGTCCTGGTCTCGGACCAAAAACAAACAAAACAAAAGACACAACTAGGCAAATATTTGCATAGAACAAAGCAGGATGACCCACAGCCATGGAAAGTACATGGGTACTATGAAATTGTA